AAGGAAATTTAAACCCTTTTGTCTGGGGGGGGTAAAAGTCGCTTTTGCTTTTTTAATTTTTTTTTTTTTTTTTTTTTTTTTCCCAGTTTAGTGTTAAAGTGTCATGATTGTGCTCGAGTGGAGCAGCTATGGGAAACAGCTTCAGTAAGAGATGCTGTGCAAACAACTACAGGCTGATTAAGGGAGAAGCCTCCCCGTGTTTTAGTGTTTTTTAATGAAATGAAGACAAATATTCATGTTGCGTTTGGCAACCCTCGATGGAGAATCACCAGTTGGGTATTTGTTGTTGCCCAAATCCTAAAAATGAATGTTACTGAGGTATTTTTTAAAAAATATTTTCCCTAAAGTATAAATGTGACATGGAGTACAGTGAAGGATGTGTGATGCTGTGGGCCTGCTCGTCTTCCAAGAATCCTGGAAACAAGGTCAGAGCGAACATGTAAGGAGATTTTAAACAAAAATCTGCCAGTAAACTGAACATTAGCAGTGACTGGGTACTTCTGGAGAATAAAATAAAAAATAAAAAACTCAGCAGATAAGGATGTGCCAGATGTCTGTTTTATAGTTTAGTTCGCCCTTGTAGAGACTGTGGAAAAGCAGATGCTCATTTATGTAAATGAGCTTATGAAATTGATCTTATTTGAGCTGCGGCTTCGTCTCTGTGAGTCACAGTTACAAAGAGGAGTCGAAGCTTTGATTTTCGACCTTGGCGTTTCTTCTCCGCCCTCTGCAGGCCCTGGAGGAGCGTCTGAAGCAGGAGCAGAGGGAGGAGGTCCACGCTCTGAAGGAGGCCCACAGGAGGACCCTGGAAATCCTCAGGCAGCAGTCAGAGCAGGAGCTGCAGACGCTCAGATTCGAGCTGGAGGACGAGGGGAAAGCGAAGCTGGGTAAAAAAAAATAAATAAGAGCACTTCCCTTTTAAAACTTCACTTTTGGCTTTGATTAGTTTTTTTTTTTTTCTCTCACCACGATGGTAGCGTTTATATCCAGGACTGTTTTAATCCACTGAAAGGTTTCCACTTTGACTCAGGCTGTTTCTGTGTGTGCTCGGATTAAATCGCCTGTGATCTGTTTGAAGTTTTCACCTGCTGCGTGCTCAGATATTATCAAAGAATCCACTTTATTTTCCATTTCCTCAACTACAGCTGAAGGGGAGCACAGCCAGACTGAGGCACAGTGGAAAAGTTAAACACATATATAAACATTTTAGTAACTTGCTTTTCTTTCATTACTCTCCTGATTGGAATAGTGCATGTGTGTTGGGATGGAAGGTGTGGAAATCACTATGTTCTGTATGTAGGAGTCTTTAATCAGCTTCAGTTCTGATAAAAGACTGTTTTTTATAAATTCTGCAGCTCAGAAGCAGAATGGTCTGTCTTGTAGATTATTTAATCAACAGGGAGCAGAGTTAAATTTTTTGTTGTTTTAGGTGTTGATTTCTTCTACAAGTTGTGGTTCGATCTTTTAACGCATCATTTGATCCTCGACTTAATCTCTGTTGACGTCTGTCTGGCAGCGTCTCTCCGAGCAGAACTGAACCACCTGCATGCCACGGCCATCGAGCACCTGAAGCAGATCCACCTCAAGGAAAACAGCACAGCCAAGAGGGAACTGGAGAAGGCGATGGAGCACAGCCACCAGCAGGTAACCGCGAACCGTTTCCGTTCAGACGCCCCCGGGTTTGTCCGGAAGCGGTCGTCTGACAGGATCCATCTGCTCGTTTTGCTTTTTCAGGAGCAAGAACTCCTGGTTCGCATCTCCGACCTGCAGGGCGAGCTGTGTTCCCGTAGCAACCGCATCACCGATCTGGACCACGAAATCCACTCTCTTAACGAGACCATCGACACTCTGACCAGAGAGCTGGAGATAAAGGGCAAAGAGGTGCTGCGAGTTCGCAGCGAAGCCAACCATCAGATCAGGTAGAAACTCCTGCAGGTCGCCGTCAGATGTTTGGTTAAAAAGTGCATCATCGCTCCAGCTGAGGAGTGACTCGGCACTAACTGACCCAGTTTGTAAAACAGTAATCCGAACACAAATCATAGGGGAGTAATTATCTGAAGAACACAGCATCCAGAGATGCTTTGAAACTGCAGGTCTTAATTACAGCAGGAAAAGAAGTAAATAAACGCTGGGTCTCCTCTTTTTTTTTTTCTTTTTTATGAAGCTTCAACTTCAAAACATGTTCCTTCTGTTTGCACAGAAAGCATATAAAACCCAGACATACCCTCATTAAAATGAAAAGTTTTTGTGTGGAAAAACTGGGAATAATTTCAAAACTTGTTCTGGCTTTAATCCCACACAAAGTGCTGTGAAAAACAAGCAAATCAGAGGGAAAAAATCGACATTTTCTACTTGGCGCTTATTGAAGCAACATAAAATTAAATCCCAGTTTTGAGTCTTTCTTTGTACCCACCTGTCTTCAATTAAAGAAAATCTGCTCCGTCATAAAACAAAGTTTAGACGTCCTTGTAATATTTTCTTTTTATTCTTACCATGGCTCGACATGACAAAAATCCTCATGTTTGGCTGAGGACCAAGGATGAACAGAATATCTCCAGATTTTCAACACACAGACTCAACGATTGATGAAATCCTTAAAAAAATAAAAAATAAATAAATATATATATATATATATATGTGTGTGTGTGTGTGTGTGTGTGTGTGTGTGTGCAAAGCTGCAGGCTGACATTAAAACTGCACAAGTTAAATCGAGTATGAGAAGCAAGAGATAAATATATATATTACAGTCGTTATCCATCTTTAAGCACTAAATGGTGCTTGTTTGATATCATAAATACTCTTTTAATAATTTTTTTTTATCAGCGCATGTTGTGCAGCTGGCTGCTGCTCTGAAAGCACAAATTATTTAAAGACTTTTCAGACACTAATGGTCAAGCAATGCTCAGCAGTCTGTGTTATTAACCTGCCTTCAGTAATTCTGCCTCTTCTGCCATATGTGACTACACCATTTCTTTTGCTTAAATTGCAGACAGACAAATTAATACCCTGACACAGTAACCATGGTTACCACTTCTTTTAAGCTCAGGGGGACTAAATTTGCTCCAGCTTCTTTACCTTCCAGCCAAATTCGCTTTGCAGCTGCACATCTGCTGTTGCCCAGCGAGATTAAATAAAACGTGGTAATTGTTCCCCAGCTGGAGTTTAGTTAAATTAGATCGACTATAATATCATAACGGTGGATAAGTCCCTATTATGAAGTGTAAACTTTGCTCGAGCAAATCTGCGCCTTATCTCTGGGGCTAACGCTGAACCATGTCCGCCTCCGCCACACAGAGCGCATGAACAGGACCTCACAAAGAGGCACGAGAGGGATCTGGATGAGCTGAAAGTGGTTCATCACAGAGAGGCGCAGATTATGCTGGCTGACTTCAACAAGGCCCAGGAGGTGCTCAAAGACAAGATTTCTGCTCTGCAAATCCTGTAAGTCGCAATAGCTCTCCTCCATCATGGCGGCTACCTGTCTGTTCAGAGCTGGCTTTTATTTAGAGGCAAAGTCTGTTGTATTTAAATGTGTTTCCTTTGTGCGCAGGCTGGAGGGCACGGAGGAGAAGTTGAGAAACAGAGAAAGCCGACCGGAAGATCTGCATCTCATCGCAGAGCTCAGAGAGATGGTGACAGAGAGAGAAGCTCTGGTCAAGAAACTCGTCGTGAGTGGACATTGTAGCAGTCTGGAAAAGTTCTGAATGCCGTTTTTTTAGAAATCATTTTCCAAGTCAGAATAAAACAGAAGCAAAGTCTATATTCCTAAAATAAAAAAATAAAAAATGAAAAGATAAACGTCTGAATGACAAAGAAAACTGAGTCCTTTGTGCATGTATTTATAGTTAAATGTCATCTTTTTAGCTTTATTTCAGTTGGGCTCAAACTTGCTGCTCATGATAGTTGTGATAAGTATGTATAAATATTCTTTATAGCAAATAGACCTAACAAACCGGCACCATACGGAGGGTTTTAAAAGTGTTCTAATTGGCTGTAACAGTAGTAATTTTTGAAGGAGTTAAGACTAATTGATGGAGTTTGGATACTTTGTAACGTCAAACCTGTTGCTTCAGGATGACAAGAAGTTCTACCAGCTGGAGCTGGTGAACAGAGAGACGGGCTTCAACAAGGTCTTCAATTCCAGTGCCAACGTTGGCGTCATCAATCCTCTGATCAAGGTGAGCGCTCTCTTCACGTTCCCCTCGTAGGAAATCAGATTAACCACGGTCACCATGAAATATGGAAATTGGTGTTTTCCAAGTCAGGATAGTCGAGGAAAATTTTAAATTAATCGCACTTTGGAAATAGAAATTGCTAAAAAAGAAAAAAAAAGAAAGTGGAGGATTGTTATACTGATTTTGCATAAGAGACATTATGGAAAGTGAGCATTTCTGTACAGGCGCTGATTCTATTTTACCACAACTTTACTCCTCCTCTCTGATGGAACAGGCCTTGTTGTGTTAATGACAGATTATGTTGTGAAAGCAGTTTGTGTGCTTCACTTTCTTTTCTCTTCACAACATTCAAGCTCAGCATTCCGTCTCATTACGTCAGTAAACCATTTTGTCTCACTGCGACGTCAGAAAACGAAACCATCATAAATGATCTCGAAACGTTTCCCACAAAAACCTGACTTGTATCTTGTGAAATACAAATCAGCTAAAGGGAAAATCTTACAGTAAAAAACACTCACTATAAAACCTTTTCACCGTGAAACTTAAAAAAGGGGAAAACATCGACATTTCTCTGCTTTGTGTGCTTAGTTTACTTAGCGGTCCTTCCAGGATCCCTTCCATCATGCAGAACCTCGGCCGTCACTATGCATCTTAGCATAATTACCCACCATTGATCCGCACGGAACGAGAGGAGCCAGAATAATAGTTCATCTCCATTGATTAAGCTTCTGCATTATATTGAAATCGATCGGCGCAAAAACAGGAGACGACCCGAACGTTCGTCTGCTGCTCTGCTAGAAAAGCGAAACACTCATTTCTTGTTTTTGTGCCTCTGATAGCCGCATGTCGTCTCCGCCGCCAAGCACAAATCAACAGCGTTTTGTTTCGAGTCCTTTGCGAAGCCCGCTCGCATCCTCCCATCAAGTCTGTGGTGAGGTCTGATATCGGCTTACAGAGCTGCTCGTCACCCTCTCATGTGTTTGCACACAGCTGTCACAGCCGATGCCGCCGAGACACAATAAAGCTTGATTTTGAGTCACAGCGTCAGCTCATCATCTCCTCGTTTTCTGTCCTCCCCATCCTGTGGGCTGCTGGCGTTAAATAACATGCATTCTTCCTTTTCCTCCACTACACCCCACACCTCCGAAATGTAATAGAAAATTAGAGAATCTCTGATGAAGCTGTGAGAGCGGTGCAGTGGCAGGTAGCAGCCTCTTTGCTGCAGCAAGGAAACAAGAGATGATTTTAACCCGATTTATGCCAATCAAGCAGCATCTTCGTAAGTTGTTTGAGGTTTTCCAAAGGTGAAAAGTTGAGAGTAAGCGCAGTGGAGGTGCTGCATGTAAGCCCAGCAAGCAAAAGATCAAAACTAGGTTTAAGTTTTAGGTGTGTTTGTCAGGTTTTCTCTTTGCCACCCTGGCTACATCGCCGTTGGTAACGCCGACTCCCTGCCTCTGATCCACTTTTATCCTGACCCACAGGCTATCAGCGTGAGTGGTGTTAAAGATGTTTTTTTTTTTTTGTATTTTGTGCTGAATTTGGAGTGAAGGAGTTGCTCATGAAGCTTGGATTTCTATTATTTCTCTCTATTTCAATCAGTTTTCGCCTTTCTTCACGTTTTGTGATGTTGCAACCAGAATCGACCACGTATTTGTTTCTATTGGGACGGCGGTTTAAAAAAAAAAAAAAAAAAATCTGCAAACTGCACAGCCACGTGTTGGTGGGATTACATTTTACATCAAGTTTCACTGATGCAGCAAATTATTCTTTATGTAAATCCATAACTGACCCACCTCCTCACGATACCGCTATGATGCATTAGACGATTAATTCACCCCCTTCATGCTGCTTCTTACCATAAATGTTGAGCTCATCACAGATGGCAGGAGGTAAAAAATCTTGCGCTGCCTCTTTCGATTACACAAAGTTAATGAGATGAGGAGAAACTGGATTCATTTTGTGAGAAGCGAAGCTGAAACGCAGCAGATGCTGGAGAGGTTTTTGCGTCACCTCAGAGGAATCCACGGTAACCGCGGGAAAGAGGATCCTCTCAAACTCCTCCTGCTGCAGCTCGCACTGGAAACAGCTGGGCTCCGCATCATCACAGTTGTCATGGCGCCGACCTCATCGACATGGGAACATGAGGGTCAAATGTGAAACTGGACAGCGTCAGTAATCTAGAGCTGCTCTGTCAAATCTGAATTGTGACGACTAAAGTTTGCAGCATTTGCAACCAGTTTTATCGGTTTTTAGGGTTCATAAGCTGTCTTGAAAAGTGCAGGTTGGACACAGTAGAAATACCTGCTGCAGATTCGTATTTAAATATTTTGTGTTCAAGCTTTAAACTTAGACAAAAAATAGTTTAAGTTATGGAATTTTGACATGAAAATGAGGGGAAACTGAATTTAAGATGGTCTTCCTGCGATAAATAAGGCATTAGATGCTGAATTATTGTATTAGTCAACTGTATTTACTTTTTTTTAGCTTGACAATTTTTTTTTCTGTGACAATTTAACTCTGCTTTTGTTTTTCTCCAGAGTTTGACATTCATTCACAGTTTGGTGGCGTTTTTGCTTCCTTGTTACACATGTGACAAGTCTTCATGTGCTTTTGTGTGGAGATGGGGAAGAACAAGATCATAATTTTGCACAAACCTTTTTATCGCCCAAGAATATTAGAGAATCTGATAAAAGCACAGAGGAACAGAGCTGTGAGTTTGCCTGAGGCTCTAGAAAGCATTAGAAGAGCAGATAAATATTCCATTTACTGAGACGATTCACCTCACGAGGTGCGGAGGTTGTGTTTACATCAGAAATGTTTGCTGTCAAGTCCAATTAAACCAGCGTTTAACCCAAAATCAGCTCGCCAGCCAGCATTCATGTGTTGCCTCTCTGTGTGTCTGTAGTCAAAAACAGGCAGCCAATCAGATCAGCGCCTCACCAGCTTCCCTAGCCATTCAGCTCTCCGATTCGTCAGCCCTCCCACCATGAGCCACGAAGGCCAGGAGGAGGGGGGGCGGGAGGACGGGGAGGTAGGGCCGGGAGGCCGCTTTGCGCTTCCTCACTCCCCCCTCCAGAGGTCCCTCCCGAGACATAAGAAAGCCCTGCCACTGTTCAGCCCTCTTCCTCCTCCTTCTTCCTCTCCTCTACCTCAGCATCCTCTCCCTCTTCCTCATCCCCCACACCATCCCATGCCGAGCCTCGCTCCTCCTCATGCTCCTCAGGATCCCCTCGCGCAGCATCAGGGCCTGCAGAGCTGTGGGAGGTGAGAAATGATGTGAGTTCCCGCCGCCGCTGCAACTCTCCACTTTGGTTTTTCACTGCAAACAGATCATGTGTTCACGTCCGCCGCACCTCCACCACCCGCATCGCCGACATCACTCGTCTCGCTTAGTTCTGTCTTCAGTGCCCAAACTGTAAACTGAGCAGCTTACAGGTTTACTGAACACTTTACAGTCGCTTTTCAGAGGCTTCATCCCTCCTGAGACTTTTCTCGTTTATTTCCATTGTAAGCTGAAGTTTTTATGGATTATTCTGAGGTTTTATGTGATAAAGCAACAGAGTGGAGCAGTGAGGTGAAAGTCATCATCCATTTATCATCCATCCGTCTATCCATCCATTAATAATCCATCCATCCATTATTCAACCATCCATCCGTCATCCATCTATCCATGCAACAAATTATAGCACAGTCTAGCCATCCATCCTTTCGTCAACCCAACTATCTGTTTGTCATCCATCCATTCATTCATCCTCCCTCCATCCGTCTGTCCTCCGCTGTTGGTCTGTCACATAAAATCATATTGAGCCTATTAAGGATTAGTTTTTAACAAGAAAAAAGTGAAGTCCCAGAAGACATGAACACTGTTAACACACTGACCACTTTTTGTGCAAGTTTGAGCGCTGGAAAAAGTCCCAACCGGCACCAATTGCATCGTTCAATCTACAACTTTCAGTCAGCATGCTCATCAGTCAGCATGCTCGTGAAGTTTTAAGACAAAGTTCCAGCTGTATGTAGTCCTTTCTGGTCACGCTGAGCGCTAAAGAGTGTAGCGAAACTAAAACAGGAGCCAGGCGGGATTGAAATTGGAATTTTAATTTGGGCCTGGAGCCATCACGGAGCCCGGCTCCGATCGACTCATTTCACACAATGCTGCAGTCTTTTGCAGCCAGACTTCATTAGATCAGGGTCAATACACAAAAATAATGAATGCATAATCCCCTGTTTTGATCCGCTGTGTCTGAACACCCCGTTTTTCTTTTTTTCCCTCGTCCAGCCTCCCCATTTCGACACCGCGGACAGTTTTGCCTCTCATCCTTAACTTTCATCTCCATCTGCTGCTGGTTGCAAATAAATAAAAGAGAAGATAGGTGGGAAACTCAAAAACTTTGCAAGTTCAAATCAGTCTCAGTGGGACCTGAAAGGGAGAAAACTGCACTGCGGCAGCTTAGGAGTGGGAAAACTTGAAAGAAACAGAAGGAGGGGGAGGGGGGGGGGCGAGCAGCAGCTGCTGCCTCTGTCTTCAGTGGACACAAAGCAAACAGATGAAGGAGCGCTGCTTGCTACTGCTGATTAGAAATCACTGGAAGGTTTTGCCGTGGGGGGGGAATAGACTGCAGCTGACTCAAAGAGTCGGTGTGAAGCCTGAGGATTTGTTTTTGGGCCATTTTTATCCATCTTAAGCCCTCCGTGGATTCCCACATCACTGTATTCTGTCACCGGTTCAGTTCCGCAATTTCAACACACAAGCCAATCACCGTTACTTTCTGCCGTCTCTGTCTTTTCTTCCCCTCCTCTTCTTCTTAAGTGCTGTTATGTCTCTTTATTTCCCCGCAGCCTTCCTGAAGCCGGCGTTCCCACACCGTCCGACTCGAGAGGGATCGAGGCAGAAAAAGTCAAAGAATATGTCCCAAAAGAGGAAGACTTGTACTCGCTGTACTTCTCTTTCTGACTGGCAAAAAAAAAAAAGAAAAAAAAAATACCCCAGTTCTGTCAAAAAATTTAAATAAAGTAATGGGACAGGGAGCTAAAGTGTGACGGCGAATCAAACGGCGCAATTCGAGTTGCTTGATGGGTTGAGATAACAGACATCCGGTCCTGATATGAGCATTTCACGTTTCCAGTCTGATTTTTTTTTTTTTTTTTTTCTTTTGGGCTTCCATACATTGTGAGCACAAAGAGGAGCAGTGCCTCATCATTATTAAAAGACCGTGAATTTAACAGTAAGGCGTCTGTTGAAACCAGATTATTATTTTCACTTTATTTAAAAGTACACCTATTTTGTTTATATTGTATCAAATTAGAGAAAACTTTTAGCTCTTTTAGGTAAATTAGGATTTTGTTTTGATTTACTAAATGCCAGAAATGTTGAGTTTTAAAATTTTGTTCACACATTCGACCCCAAAACACATTGATCTCTGGGACACAGAACCCGTCTCCTTCTTGAACATTGAAATGATTAAAACTTATGAACACATGTTGGATTAAAGTCTAGGAATTCAACCAACCACCCCATACTAGTGATTTTATTGATCTGCTCACGAAAGTTCAGATGATTTTTTTTGGTTTTTTTTTTTTTTTTTTTGTCAACTGTCATTTCAACCGTAGATTCTTTGATCATCCTAGAGCTGATTATTGACTTTGTCTTTGGCACTTGATCGCTTGGAATAATAGTTTTCTGGGTTTTTGTCCATTTGAAAGCGTTTCGGATGTCATTCTGAGCATTTTTGTCTGGAACCATCCATTTTACTCAACACATACAGCGTTTGTTGCCTTCATCCTTAAACATTTGTGAGGATTTTTAAAGAAATGATTGAACAAAATCAGCTGCTCTCACCTCATGACTGCACCTGTTGGTTTTCTATTACTCTACTGCGCCTGGCAAACTATTTTCCATGCAGTGATCGATCTGGTCTTTTTAAACTCCGATCCGTCTGCCTCCATGCCTCATGTGTGCGTTTCTGACTTCATCATTCACGTTGGTTCTGGTTGTGCTTTTTGGCCTCTGCAGTAAAAACTACACCAGCAAACAAAACAACAAAGTAAGAGCCTCACTTCAGCTCGCTGTCCCAGTGCTTTGCCTGTGTACATACAGTACATGTGCGAAGGTGGTTTACAAGCGTCAACGTTTTAGGTGTCCGAGCACGAACTCCTCTGCTGCACGTCTCTGGCCGTGCGGACAGACCACAGAGCATGTGAAAACAGACACACTCATGCTGCTCTCATTCACTTGAAATACTCATATCTTCTCAGTGTACCGTCCCGTTTTTCTTTCTTTTCTTTTTTTTTCCTTCCAACTCAAAGGTTTACGTAGTCATCTTGCTGGACTCCATACAGAAATCTGTACAGTTTTTCCAAGCTGCATGCTCATCTTCAACCCAAAAGAGGCTCGGTTTGTCCTCGGAAAGAGCTTGACGCGCAAACGTTTCAGGTCAGTCCGATGTCTTCCTTTACGGAGCAAGTAGAAGCCGCAGGAAGTGTTTGAACTAATCCCAACTAAATCAGAAAAGCTGCTGAGAGTCTGATTAGACGATAATTTGATGTTTCATTAAACGATTTAGCACCCTCCATGTTTTTTTTTTTTTTACGCGCCTATTCTTAATAATTACTACAAATATCTGAAAGTAGCAAAGCACTCGGGCTGAAAACCCAAATCATGACTTAGTTTCTTAGCTTTAAACAGATTTTCGATTTAAAAAGTTTCGAATTTTCTCCACTCAATAAGTGCAGCTCGTGGTTTTTCTACTTTTCTGAAGTCTTAAAGTGTTTACACATCTTTACTAGAGGTACCAATAAAAAATACTGTCTGAATTTTCCCGAGCCTAGTTCAACACTTCCTGAAACACTTTAAACATCTCAGAGGACCCAGAAATCTGTCCTGTATGGCATGAATGATGCATCCAGTCTCTGAAGTTGTGCTGAATGTGCTAAACTGGTTAAATTGTAAATACTTCTATGTACAAACGAAGGAATAAAGGGGAGTTCAGAGGATCTTAATGGGATTGAGGTCCAGATACACTGAACCACAGCTGGTTCATTGCTCCATGCACACTGTGAAGTTTAGATTAATTTAATGACTATATAAAATATGGGCATTTTATCTTAGATATCTGCACTGTAATGTGCAGAAGTCCTTAATTTTTTAGCTTAATATATTATCTCACAACAGTTTTTGCTTTTAATTTTCTTCCTGAAGCTCCTATTAATAATGGTTAAAGGACCTTTGCGGTGTTTGTAACGCGTTTTCAAACTGTTATATTCATTAATGTTTTAAGATGTTGTTTACTTTATTGTATTTTTTTACTCTGTTATTTATGTATTGTTTCAAAAGTTTACAGAACTGAAATTTATACGATTGTTTAACTGAACTGAAAGTGGTCCGAAGTCAACATGAAACTCATAATTGCATATCTGTCATGCCCTTTTTGAAGTAAACACATTGCAGTTATAACAATATTTATATTTATATCACTTCTGTTGTATGTTATGGAACAATAAAACACTGATTGTGAGAAATGAACTAGTTTGGACTGTCATTTTCAGCTACGACTCCTTCCTGTAGAAATTATAACTACAACATCCTCCAATTTAATGTTTTGCCACTAGATGGCGCCTATTAGCTTTACGTTTTTCCCTTTAAAACAACTTGTGGCGTAGCTTTGTCCGTAGTGTTGTCGCATTTAAGGGCAGAAGACCCTGAATTCGTATTGAAAATGTGCTTGCATTTATGCCCAGAGCCTTTTGGGACAGAAATCAGCCCACAGCATCACAGGTCTGCTGCCATACCTAGTAATAAGCATGAGCTGCTCCTTTCCTTTTCCTGTTCTTATACAGAATCGGGTAAATGCAGCTTTCCCCAGGAAGTCCTGCTGTCAACCAATCACACGTCAGAACTAGTAAAATCGAAACCCACCAATCACCTCCGAGCTTCCAGCTGAAAATTGAATTGAAAACTGAATACAAATCAGAGATTTATGCAGATATGTAATAGTGTTTATTCTGTGCTCGACACATCTTTCTTACAGAAATTAAAGAAAACAAAAACATCCTTCGTCTTAAATGTTTGTGTTGTAAGCTGACAAGCAAATATTGTAAATCCTCTTAGCTAATGTGACATCTTTTTTTTTTTCTCTTGAGGAATAAAACTTCAATTTACATCACATCTTGTTGCCTCAGTGTGTCGCTGGATGGTACCTCAGCGAATCTCACACAGATTTCAAACACTTTTTGTTTTTCATGCAATTTCTTAAAAAGATGTGTTTTTCAGGAATATCGTTTTAAATTGGAAATTTACGACCAGCTGTTCACTGCTGCCCCTCCACTTTTAGGTATCTGCCATTGGGTGGCGCCAAAGTCAACTTTTTTTTTTCTGCAATAGTTCATTATTTATTTCCCCCCAATGATGTTTTATTCTGGCAGCAAGCACTTGTGGATGTTTACATTTTACAAGTCAGTCTCTGCAACAGATTTTGTCAAACAGTGAGATAAATGACTGTTAGGATGAAACTGATCATTTATAGCAGGTTTCTCATCATTTCTCAGTGTCCTTATTACATTACCAAATGTTTGGTAAATCTTTTCTTGTTATCCACATGACTGTTTGTTTTATGTGACAAGAACTGAGATTTTCTTTAGTTTCCATCAGACTGGGAAAAAAATTAGCTTCAGCTGCTGTTTTCTTCTTTTTCTATTTTGAGAATCCTCAACCTTTCACCGCTTTAGCCGTGCTTTGGACCTTCTTCATTTTATATGTAGCTTGTGTAAATTTTGGACACAGCTGTATTAGGACTTTTTTAATTAAAATGCCAGAGACTGTAGATGAAGATTTCCTCAAGAGGTACTGTCATGGGGGAGGGGGGATTAATTCCTAATCCTTTTTACAATAGTTTTTTAGTAAATGCAGTAGAGGACATCTTGAGGGTTGAAAATCTGTGAAGATTATCTCTCAGTCAGAGCAGACGGAGAGAAAAATGTTCATGCAACAGGAAGCAAACCTCAGAGATGCATGAATGCTTCCCACTTCATGTGCATCGTGTTTAATGTCGCTTCTACACAGTGTGGTCAGAAAATTTTGGTGCATACACGCAAACAGGATCAAAGATGATAAAACGTAATAAGAGAAGCAGAGATATAATGACTTATTTTTTTTTTTAAAAAATCTGATATTTCTCTGAAATCCCCCGTTTTTTGTTTTTTTTTTCAGCGGTTGAGCTCTGCCAGGCTCTGCATGTGTCCCTTTCTGCTCTCAGCTGCTCAGCAGGACGATGATGTAGATGAGCAGCAGGCAGATGAGGATGAGTGTGAAGTTGACAAACAGCTCCTGCAGGTTCCTCTTGGCCTGGGGGTTCACCTCGATCTGAGATGCTCGACGGATGGCCGACTTGGTCATGTGCTGGACGCGCTCCATGAGGACGGCGGACGTGCGGGTCAGTGGGGGGTCGGGGAGCTGGGGCGGTTCAGTCCGGCTGTTGAAGATGGAAGCGGCGAACTCTTTTGTCCTCTCTTTCCGTTGACTGTTCTCTACTTCAAGAGAGAGAGAAAGAATTTTAGTCTCCAGTTCATGATATAGACACGCAATTTAACATTTAGATAATAAATTTGCTTAATGGAAAAACAGCAATTTCGAAAAAAATTATCTTTTTTGCTAAAAAAAGTTTTGCGTGAAGATGAGGTGCTTTTTTTTTTTTGCCATATTAAAATTGGTTTATTTCCCAAAACTGCAGTGGAAACACTTTTCTTTACATAACAGAAGTCACATGATCAACAACTGGATTCTACCACTGGCGTAAACCACGAAGAAGAAAACAGGACATAGTTGAACGATGAAGGCACTGCATGTTTTTTAATGACTTATCGTGAGTACAAACTTACATGTAATTCTAATTACGCTACTTACTTCATAGAAAGACTGCAATTGCAAAATTGTTTTTTTTTTTTATATATTAGCAAGAATACTGACAAGGTTTTCCACACATTTTGTAATGCAAACACAGCTATTCTCACTTTAGTTCCTTTTCATTGCAGCCTCTACAGGTTGAGATACGTGACCCCCCCCCCCCCCCCCTCCCCCCCGCCCCGCTCGCGTCGGGGCTAACCGGCAGACGGAGCGGCCTGCGACCGCCG